TTCAAAATCAAATCTCATGTATTATTTAAGCTTTGGAAAAATATGTTATATTCTTCCTTTGATTTCAGAAAAGTTAATCAACTACTTTTCAAGTATTGTCAATAATTGCAACTTGTGAAATACTTCAAATGCTGATGTGTTCCACTTATTTATCATTTGATATTTTCAAGTTATTGGAACGCTTGCAAATAGTTTAATGTCTTTTTCTGATACTTAGATCTATTTATAAAGAAGTTGTTTAGGGTCTGGGGAGAAGGCTCAGTGGTTAAGATCGCTAGCTGTTCTTGCAGAAGACCTGTGTTCTAATCCTAGTACCCACATGGCAGCTAACAACTGTCTGTAACTCCAGTTCCAGAAGATCCGAAAGCTTCTTCTGTCCTCCATGGGCATTGCATGACACTTACCTACATGCAGGTAATACACACATGCTCATAAACTAAAAATAATAAAATATTTATAAAATAAAAATAATTTGTTTAAAGATTTATCTCTCTATTTGATTAACATTAGTAGCAGAGAAAGTATTCACTTTTGTGCTGAGTCTGAATTATTTTTTATTTCAATAACAAAATGTGTAAATTTATTTTGTAGTTCAATTCCCCTAGAAACATACTGAACATAGTATTTATATAATTTGACAACTGTGGCTTCTATTTTGATTGTCAGATTGGATGGTTTTCTGTTTGTAGCACCTGATGTGTTGCTATGACATACTTTTCATCTGTTTGTAAAGTTATTCTGTTAACACATCCAATAAAATAACAGTGATTGTTTTACTTTCCAAATAAACACAAGAAAAGTTGGAGTGTAAAATTAGCAAAATTAAGAATTAAAATCATTTCATAGAAGTCGAATTTATGATTTACAGAGTAATGAGTTAATACTTTATCCAGTCACAGCATATTAAATCATGAAGTCAGGGCACATCCATTTTAAAATAACATACTCATCTGAATCTGATGATTTTCCTGAGCTGGCATGCATGGTCCACTCTTGGATGGACAATTTTTCATATTTTACCAAGTGACATTTTCAACATTAGCTTTTTTAAGAACCAGAAACTCACTACTTAATTTTTTCACTGGGCACTCTTGGCACATGCTCAGACCACGCTCTAGACTTTCTGTGGTAGGACTAGCCAGATGCTATTTCAGGCATATATTCTATAGGCACCTTAGCAGTAATTTCCCATGTTTCTCAGTGCCCTTGCTGATTATCAGCCTGGCAGCTTGCTACATCTTAAGAACTGAAACACAGGCTGACACATGAGTGGCTGGAATACCAAGTGGACTGCACAGGCAAAGGTTGAGGTGAGAATTCTGAATTCTGTTATCTGAACATTAACTAACAGAAATTGGATGTTGAGAATTTAATAGAAGCTAGAAGAGTAAAGGACAGACCCATCAAATGGTCTCTGACAGGTTTACTCAATGATCAATACCACTTGGATATTATGCCAAGGGAATAGGCATAAATGGGAATTATTTTAGGCAAATTGGGGCATAGTGAAACCCCATTGTTTGTCATAACCACTAAGATATAATCCTGAGCATCGTGATCCTAAATGTTAAAATCCATAAAGACCATAGTCCCAAACATTGGAAGGCCCAAAATCACATCCAGTAATGCTGAAATGTTAAACATTGAAAGCTTGAAAACTGCAATTCCCATTGGTGGAGAGAAAAAGCTATCCACAAAGAATAAAAAGCCAGATGATACTAGGGAAGGAATTAAGGTGGATTTGGTTGTGCACAGGATAGTCAAGGCATGTTAAGCAGAGCAAATATGTAGAAACCTGGTGTACTAGCTACTTTTCTGTTGCTGTGATAGAATCACCATGACCAAGGGAACTTATCAAAGGAAGAGTTTATTTAGCTTATGGTTCCAAAGGGGCAAGAGTCCATCATGGCAGGGAGCAATGGAGGCAGAGGTGGCTGGAGGAGAAGCAGAAGCTAAGAACTGACATCTTCAAGCAGGTATGGGAAGCAGAGAGGGACTGGAGATCCCTTCAAGGCTTAAGGCCTCTCTAAACCCTCTCCCAGTGATGTGCTTCCTCCAGCATGGCCACACCTTAAGACCTCCCAAAACATCATCATCATCTGGGGACAAAATGCTCAAATACTTGGAGCCTATAGGGGACATTCTCACTCAAACCACAGCACCTGGTAAAGTCTTTGTAAGGACATGTCTGGGGTGTTTCCACATAAATTTGGTCTGAGAGTCTCAGTAGACAGAGTGGCAAATAGTCACCACATGTAAAACTTGTGTGAAGAGCCTGGAAAGATGGCCCAGCAGTTAAGAACACTGCTCTTTCAGAGGACCCAGGTTCGATTCCCAGGTTAGCACCCACATGGTGGCTAACAACCTTCCATAACTCCAGTTCCAGGGGATCTGACGCTCTCTTCTGACCTCTGTGGGCATTACATAACACAGTTCCACTTACCTATATGTGGGCAATATACTCATACACATAAAATATATTTTTAAAAAAATGATATGAAGGTACTGTGAGTCCTGGAGGGCCTGAAAGAAT